ATCGTCCATATGATCTAAAGATCGAATTGGAAGAAGGAGCGGCTCCGCCCCTTGGCACCATCTATTCCCTTTCTCCGGTTGAGCTTGTAGCTCTTCGCAAATTCCTTGATGAGAATATTGCGACCGGACTTCTTCGTTCCTCATCCTCTCCGCACGGAGCCCCTGTCCTATTCGTCAAAAAGAAGGACGGCTCCCTACGCCTCTGTGTAGATTTCCGAGGACTCAATAAAATCACAAAGAAAGACCGCTACCCGCTTCCCCTCATTTCCGACCTTCTCGATTCTCCGAGCCGCGCTAAAGTTTACACTAAGATCGACCTCCGGTCCGCATACCATCTAGTCCGGATGGCGGAAGGAGACGAGTGGAAAACTGCTTTCCGGACGCGCTACGGCTCGTATGAATGGTTGGTTATGCCGGAGGGTCTCACCAATGCTCCGGCGGCTTTCCAGCGCTTTGTCAATACCATCTTTGCCGATATGCTTGACATTTGTGTTATTGTGTACCTCGACGACATCCTCATCTATTCCGCAGACCTTGCATCTCATAAAAAACACGTCCTTGAAGTCCTCCGACGCCTCCGGAAGCATCGGCTATATGCTAAACCGGAGAAGTGCGAATTCCATTCCGACTCTGTAGAATACCTCGGTTACCTCCTATCTCCGGCCGGACTTACAATGTCCTCCGACAAAGTCCAGACTATCTGCGACTGGCCGGAACCTCGGAAAGTCAAGGATATTCAATCGTTCCTCGGATTCGCCAATTTCTATCGTCGCTTCATCTTTAACTACTCGGATATTGTAGTTCCGCTTACGCGGCTCACTCGCAAGGATGCTCCCTGGAATTTCTCCGAGGATTGCCGGAAATCTTTTGAAACTCTCAAGAAAGCCTTCACTACCGCTCCGGTGCTTACGCACTGGATGCCGGATGTTCCTATCGTCGTTGAGACGGACGCTTCCGACTATGCTATCGCCGGAATACTTTCTATAGTATGTCCGGACCAGGAGCTCCGCCCGGTTGCTTTTTACTCCCGGACCCTTTCGGCTCCGGAACTCAACTATGACACCCATGATAAGGAACTTTTAGCTATCTACGAAGCTTTCCGGTCCTGGCGACACTACCTTGAAGGCTCTGCCGAGCCGATAGACGTCGTCACGGATCACAAGAACCTTGAGTACTTCGCTACCACAAAACTCCTCACCCGCCGCCAGGCCCGCTGGTCGGAATACCTTCACCAGTTCAACCTGATTATCCGTTTCCGACCCGGAAAACTCGGAGCTAAGCCCGACTGCCTAACTAGACGTTGGGACGTCTACCCCAAAGAGGGGGATAAGGACTACGCTCAAGTTAATCCACACAACCTCCGGCCGATATTTACCACAGAACAGCTCGCTTCGTCCCTCCGGGCATCACACCTAGCAATTCCGGTGCTCCGGACAGCTGTACTGATGGATGTCGAGCAGCTTCATAAGGACATTCTGTCCGCCCTCCCTAATGACCCTATCGCTTCCTGTCATCTTCCGGATCCGTCGGACCCGAGATGGACAGTGGACGAGAGTGGTTTCCTCCGTTGCGACAACCGTATATACGTTCCAGAATCCAATGACCTCCGTCTCCGAGTGCTCCGGAATACGCACGACCACCCGCTATCCGGACATTTCGGTCAGAACCGGACCCTGGAAGTTATCCGTCGGGAATATACCTGGCCCGGAATCCGCGCATATGTGAAGGACTATGTTAAGTCCTGCACGACCTGCGCCCGAGCTAAAGTTCCGCGACACAAACCATACGGATTATTGAAGCAACTTCCCATTCCCGAGAAGCCGTGGAATTCTATATCCATGGACTTCATTGAACAACTCCCTGATTCCTCCGGCTTCACAGCCATCCTGGTAGTCATAGATCGACTATCCAAGCAATCCATATTCATTCCGACCTATGACACCATCACCTCTCCGGACCTCGCCCGGTTATTCCTCCTCCATGTGTTTTCCAAGCACGGAGTTCCGTCCCATGTCACTTCCGATCGCGGTACGGAATTCGTTTCCCACTTCTTCCGGTCGCTCGGAAAAGCGTTAGATATGATCCTCCATTTCACCTCCGGATATCATCCGGAAGGCGACGGACAAACCGAGCGAGCTAACCAAACCCTAGAACAATACCTCCGGATCTACTGCAACTATCAGCAGGACAATTGGTCGGAACTGTTACCCTTGGCCGAGTTTGCATACAACAACGCTCCGAGTGCTACCACCGGAGTTTCACCATTCTTCGCCAATAAGGGTTATCACCCGAACATTTCCATACATCCGGAACGTGATCTTTCCTCCGCCCGCGCCCGGGATCATGCTATAGATTTAGATGAGCTTCACCAATTCCTCCGAGAAGAAATGTCCCTTGCCCAAGCAAGATATCAGGGACCCGCGGACGCTAGACGGAAAACCGCTCCGGACTTTAAAGTCGGAGATCAGGTCTTCGTCAAAGCAAAATATTTCCGCTCGACCCGACCATCGAAAAAGCTCTCGGAAAAGAATCTCGGACCATTCGACATCATCGCTCGTCCCGGTACCCACTCCTTCACCATCCATCTTCCGGATGCTATGCGATCCATACACCCCGTATTCCATGTCTCTCAGTTAGAACCCGCAACTCCGAACACTATCCCTAATCGCATCCAACCTCCTCCGCCTCCGGTACTAGTCGACGGAGAACCGGAATACGAAATCTCCGAAATCCTGGACTCCAAGATAGACCGCCGGAGACGTCACTGCCAACTACTATACTTAGTACGTTGGGCCGGATATGAAGGGACGGACGAAGAAACTTCCTGGATACTCGCAACCGAACTCGGAAATGCGCCGGAACTTCTATCGGATTTCCATTCAGCATATCCGGACAAGCCGGGACCAACTTCTAACAAAGAGTAAGGAGAAACATGCATATATGTACATTATTTAGGCGTCCGACATCCGGACTTCGGATCCGACGACCTAAGAGTCCATCTCCATGTCTCCGCCGGATCCGCCGGCCTCTTTTTCCGCCTCCTCTCCATTTTCCTCCTCCGGAGCATCTTCTACATGCATCCGGAAACCGCCCCTCAGACTCTCCATGAAGAGAGTCTGAAACTCCCTCTGCTCCTCCATGAACCGGAGCATGGTCTCACTCACCCGGTCCATCGCAGCTCTACTTCCCTCCGCCGCTGCAATACCCCTCTCCATCAGCCCATTCGTCCGGGCCAGTTCCGCAACTATGTTGTTGGCGGCTGCGACCCAGGCCTGGTCGTCGTACTCCGCCCAGTCTTGATCCTCTCCAATAACCGTCCGGGGATTGGAGACTATTTCTATGTCGTCGTCGATGTCCTCCGGACTGCGCTGACGTCTTTTTCCTTTGCCCTTGGGGCTCGGAGATCCCTCCGGACGCGCGCGTTTCTTGCCTTTGCCTTTGCCGGCCGGCGCCTTGACAGGCGGATTTCCACCGACGCACTTTTCCTTGGACGCACGGCATTGGTCACACGTCCGGATCTTTCGGAAATCATCAGTAGTCATCCGGATCCGGACAAAACAGAAAAACTCACCCTAGGCGTCCTAGACGCTACTGCCCAGGTGCAAATCTTGCGCCTAAGGACGCACATCTCACACGCAACCTCCGGATCCGCCGGACCGGAGGACTAAAAATTGTTAAAACTCCGGAAAAACGCAAAAAACCTCATCCGACTCACCTCCGACGCATTACCCATCCTAGCCTTTGCCAAACGCTCCTGCTCGCGCTCCGCCAACCTCTTCCGAGTCTCCTCGATATCCTTCCGTTTCTGCTCCTCCATCCGTTTCCGTTCCTCTTCCGCCTCCTTGCGCTTGCGTTCCTCTTCCTCCGCCTCTCTCCGAGCGTCCGCCTCAAGCCGCGCAATTTCGGCCGCCATTTCCGCCTGTCTCTCTTCGAGAACCTGCCGGGCGGTCTTCTTGTTGCCGGAAGTGGAGTTAGACATGATAGAAGCAGTAATAGGAGTTAAAGGGAAAGTTTTAGACGTCTCATGGGCGCCCCGGCCTACTTATATGCTCAGTGCTATTTTTACGAGCTCCGCCCATCATCTCGCATTCATAAACGTCCGGTCCGGACTTCCGAATCAGAAGCCTCGTGGGCTCGGCCCTAAAGGGGGGATACTGTCATATCCCGCGTTCCGGACCCGGACCTATCACACTCATCATTTCCGGATTTCCGGATCCGGCCGACTTCTATGTATCGTCCGGATCCGACCCGCGTCTAACTTCCGCGCCTTATCCCTTTGGTATTTCCCTTATCAGTTAGTACGCTTTATTTTCCGTTCCTCATTCATCTCCGTCTTCATTTTACTAAGTTCCGATAGACTAGTGATAGTCGTACCATATGTTTTCTTCATAGCTTTACATAGCTTCGCACTGCACTTACTATTCTCCGTTATGTCCTCAGTAGTATATAAACCCCTGTACAATCTCTGTAGTTCCTCAGTTCGAATATCATATTAGACTCTGCTCATTCTCTCCTCCGTCCGACTTGAGTTTCTCTCTCGTCGACCTCCGCTCGTCTTAGGATCGACTCCTATAGACTTGACACCTCCGCCTCTACCTCTGGTAGTCCTCCGCTGTTTCCTTTCTAGTTCGGACTTCGTCCGGATTAGTCTTATCTCTTGTTTCCGAACGTCCGCCAGAATTCCCGCGCATCGGACATCGGACTCCGGACATCGCCCGACGCCCTCCGGACATCGTCCGGTAACCTTCGGACATCGTTCAACAACCCTCGGAAGTTAGGGGCACGTACTCGGGTAAGGGGCGCAGCGCACAAGCTGAAGCCAAGCCCTTCGGATCCGACCCTTGAGCACGTTCTTAACAATCACCAGTGTCATCATCGTCATCTTCCTTCCCCTCCTATTCACCTCTGGTCTGCTCATCCTCAATATCAAGACTCTCGGCAAGATCTCTCAACTCCCTCTCTACATCATCCAGTGCCGCATCTGTCATGCCTTTGAGGACATTAAATTGATGTATCAAACTTTTTGCTATGAGAGTGATGACATGGTTAAAGCACTGTGCATGGTTGGGATCTCCAGGGAATGAGGGAATCAGGTCACTGAGCACCTCAATCATGGTGTCATTCGAAGACACATTATCACAGGTTATACACAGTATCTGGCTACAGGTAAGTATCCTGTCCACTGCTATTTGATGTAAACTGACCTTATCAGACACACCAAACTCTTTAAGGATCTTTGTGAATGCCGCAGCAAGGTTAGCACCTGAGTGTAACATTGCTACTTTAACAACATCAAGGATCAAGCACACTGGCTCTCCATCCTGTTCGAAGTGGACAGTCACAGCGATGAACACCCTGTGGTTTGGAGAGGTCCATGCATCTGTAGCAAAGCTGAGGGTGCCCTCATACTCCTGCAACATATTTGCAATTTGCTTTTGCATATTCGCAAACACCTTCTTGACATCACGAGATACTGTTGTGGGTGAAGGTATGTAATATTCCGGTCTTCCCATTTTCATTAAGCTCTGGAAGCCACGATCACTGACAATTTGAAAGGGCCTCTTACTCTTGGCCACCCACCACACTATCTCTGCCCGCAATTCCATTTTTGTATGTTGACGGTGTGAGAACGTCACTTTCCCTTTCCCTTTACCTCAAAGGCAACCGTTATGGACTGTGGATCCAGGACCCCTTTTGTTGTCACGCGCACCTCTGCTGCATTCTTGGCTTTGTCAGCCAATTCGACAGTTTCAGCACCTGTCATATCCCGCATTCCGGACCAACATCTGACGACGTTCCCACGCCTCATCCGGACCTCCGGACCTCCTGTCCATGTCTCCAGACCCAATCCTCTATCCGTCCGAATCCCTGTACTCCTGCATCTGATATCCGGATGCCAGATCTGATATCCACATCTCCGGATCTCCGGATCCGACCTATCTGTCATGTCCGAACCCAAACCTTAAATCAGCGCCCATCCCCTTATGGTAATCACCTGTCTCCGGACTTCCGAACATCCGGATCCGACCCACGTCTATCTTCCTTGCGTTCCGGACCCAGACCTATCACGCATTCATCTCCGGACATCCGGATCCGACCCGCGTCTATCTTCCGTGCCTTATCCCTTTGTATGTTCCTTCTTGAGTTAGACTTCCTCATTTTCCGTACCTCATTTCATCTCCGAGTTCATTTCTTATGATCCGTCTTATTTTCTAATACATTTCCACATGCTCGTACATAGCCTTACCCCTCTGCTTACTGATCTGCACAGACTTGCCTCTAGTATATAAACCCCAGTAGATACTCCTGTATTTCCTCAGTCTGAATATCATACATATTAGTCCTTGCACTAGTCTTCACACTAAGTCCTCGTAACAGTTCTATTCCTCCGACTTAGTAATCATCCATCTCAGGCCTAGGGAGAAATTCCCTAGGCCAGAGCTCCGCTTCTCCGATCCTCCGCTCATCCGCTCATCCACTCATCCGATCCTCCATTCCTCCGAGTTTCCGGAAGTTCCTCCGGAACTTTCCCGCGGTCCTCCGGACCTATCCTGCTTCGGACTTTGTCCTTGCAGCCGTTCCTCTGTTTCCTTCTACTCAGGACTCGTCCTGAGTAGCCATTATACATATCCCTGTCAGGACGAAACTCCATCGTAATTTCCGGAAGTTCCTCCGGAACTTTCCCGCACTCATCCGGAAGTTTCTCGCACTCGTCCGGAAAGTCCTTCCGAAGTTTCCCACGCTTCTCCGGAAGTCCTTCGGACTTCACTGGACTTTCTCCGGACTTCATTCTGAAGTTAAGGGCACATACTCGGGTAAGGGGCGCAGCGCACGAGCTGAAGCCAAGCCCCTTGGAATCAGTCCTACCCTTTGTGCACGGTCTTAACAGCACCCCAGCATTTCTTTGTGTGTTTATGCATATTTCCCATGGACTTTGCATCCCCAGTATCAAGATATCTCCTCACCTCCCGTGTTTTGTACTTACAGTTTGTTGCTGCACATTGGAACGAGTGACATCGGCAGTTGTTGATGTACTCAATGGTAGGGGTGGACCTGAAGGATACATAAACCGGTGCTGTCCAGTCATTCAAAAGTCATCCTGTCAACCGTCAGCATCATATAATACAGCGCTGAGGACTAGATTCACTTATTTCACTGTCTTCATCCTCAGCCGCCAACTCTTCTTTACTGTCCTCCACCACAGCCTCCATTGTTACATCTCTATTAGCATTGAGACTGCCCCCAATGTGACTTGGTTCATCATCATCGTTATCATCATTGGAGTCTTGAACTGTTGCCCTTTGTGAAAATCCTCCAGTGGGGGATGGTGTCAAAGCTCTAGATGCAAAGGTAGAGACTTTGCGAGTTGCTATGGATTTCTTGTGAGATTGCAAGAGGGTTTGTGTAAATTTTTTTGTATGCTTGACTTTGCCAGGAGCTTTATTCTTAGCTTTTGTAGTACCTGCCATGGTAAAGGTTGAACAAAGATGTGATTTAATTGCCTTATTATAAATTGAGTTACAAATTTTGAGGGTACATGGGTACATAGCTGCAGGTATGGGTTTCTCACAGGTTCAAATTCCTGTACCCCTACCCATACCCTCTAAAAAACCCTCCAAAAACCCATGGGTTACCCATACCCCTTATATCACTAGCTGGGGATCAATTTTGGGAAGATGTTTGCACCTGTTGCCAAACCAGCTTCAATTCGAGTGCTCTCAGCACTTGCTGCCCTTAACAATTGGGAACTCGATGTGTTTGACATGAAATGTGTGTTCTTGTGGGGGAAATTGACAGAGGATGTCTACATGTGACAGCCCCATGGATTTGAATGTGTCGAGCCCAGCATCAGCCTCCTTGTCTGTCACCTATTATCGGACTCAAACAAGCCGCCTACAACTGGTATGAACTTTTACGCGAAGTTCTAACTCAGTTAGGCTTCCTTCGCATTGAGGCTGACTACACCATTTTTATCTATGGATCACGTCAATGGAGAGAGGGAACACATCATTTGCATCATTGCCTGGCATGTTGATGATGGCCTTGCAGCTGTGAGCCATCATCCATTCCTCATGTGGATTAAGGGTCAGATAGCGCAACATTTTGGCATCACTGATCTTGGTCTGGTATCCAAACACCTCAACATTCAATTCAAGTGCAACCATACCACCTGCAAGTTGTGGATACATCAAACCAACTATATTAACTATCTACTCAACGAACATGGCATGACCGGCTGTAACCCAGTAACCCTCCCCATGGACTCACACTTTCCATTTGGATGTGACACTGACACACACCCTCACATTGAGAACCTTCTCTCCGAGTATCGCAAACTCATCAGTGAATTGCTCTACCTCATGATGTACATGTGTCCCGATGTCACCATTGCAGTCATGAAGCTGGTGCAACACAACAGTTGTCCAGAGCCCCACCACTACACTGTGGCCAAACACGTCCTTTGTTTCCTGTCTGGTACTGTCAGCCTACATGTTCATTATGGGGGTGCTACAGCACTTCCTGAACTTCACAGATTCAGCGACTCCAATTGGGCCAATACCCCCAAAGATCGTATCTCCATATCGGGGTATGTCTGGTTCTTCAACAGAGGACCTGTGTTCCACTCATCGAAGAAGCAGCTAACCCATGCACTATCCTCAACTGAGGCTGAGTACATGGCGCTCATGGCTGCAATTCAAGATGGCCTTTGGCTTGCATCTTTCTTTGAATGTCTGTGCATCCCACTCTCCCTTCCTCTTCGCCTCTTCACAGACAACGCTGGAGCCATTGCTCTCTCCAAAGAGGCCACTAATCATAATCGCACCAAGCATATCAGCCTTTGTTTCCATTTTATCCGTGCACACATTGAGGAAGGCATGTTCAAGCCAGAGTGGTTGTCGACTCACAAAAATGTCACTGACATTTTCACCAAGTGTCTTCCCCGACCTCTCTTCCTTTGTCATCAAGCGGGTCTCTCCCTTGGGTCACCATGATTGCAACAATGTGTTGTTGTGGGGGTGTGTTGAAGTTCTCCTTTGTCATTGTCATCATTTACCATAGCACTTTCCTTTTTGACTCATATCACATGTATCAGTACATATAGTCACTCCATTTCTCTCATTATACCTCAGTTGTTCCTGTCACTTCCCTGTGTACATACTATTACTCATTTTGCAGGCCACACAACACTAGTTCTCAGAAGTTAGAGGGACCAATATTACACCCGTCTGTTTCAGAGCTACTTGGGAACCCAGAACTGAGGATTCACGGTGCACGATCTTCATGTGTTTTTCTCTGATATGTAGCCTCCTTGTATTGATCTAAATGCCAGGGCTTTTTCAAACTAACTTGAAGGAGCTGCACGTTTCTAAAGAACCACGACCTCTCTTTCATCAATGACTCTAAGAACGGGCTCGTCAACATCCCTCCTCTGTCTCTGCCGCTCAATGCACACATGGACATTATGGTTATCGACGCTGAAAAGTCTTCCGTCTTCAAGTCGAGTCTCTACTCAAGTCCGTACTCCTTTTTTATATATTTCCAGTGTTCTGACGACAGGATGTCTTGTCATTTTCAAAGATGGTGATGACGCGCACCAGGACCAGTTTGTCCTCCAGTTGTTCACACTCGTGGATCAGTTTCTCAGGAGGGAGTATTTGTATCTGAAGTTCATTCGCTGGCGACTGGGCCGTTGCAGGGTATGGTACACTCTATCCCCAGCAAGACTATTGCAACAACTATCGGTGAGAATGGGACGCTCTTGAACTATTAGAGAGCTGATAATCCGGAACAGGGTAGTGTCTACTGTTTTATCATATTTACGATCCTTCGCAAAAGCGCTAAGTCAACTCGGTAGCGTTCATGGTGCACACGAACAACATCAAGCGCTCCACGTGCATGAGCAGATCTAGGAGAAGTTCTAGTTGGACTTGACGGAGGAGGCGATCAAGCATTTTCCTGGTCATATGGAGGTATTGGATTTCAGAATTGTTGCTATACTTGTCAGTTATTTGTGTGGTTTCGAATATCGATTCATGTAAGCTCATGTCACCGAGTTATTGAATTCTGTCTGAGTCTTACATAATTTGTTCGTGCTCTGAAGTGCGAGTGCTTATCACGTGCCCCCCCTGATATATCTGGCATTTCCCTTTACGAGCATGCATGCTGCGGATCAGCCGGTACGCAAATCAAGCTCCCGAACACTGACTGAACTTCCAATCCAACCGTCCTAAGTGGTACTACTAGCAATAAACGACGACAACATGATGACAGGCTTCACTCTTCTACTACATCTTGAGTAAATTGCTCCCAGAATGTCTGATTCTGCCCGTCCCACACAAGATTCAACTTTGCTATCAACTCTTCCAAGTCAAATTCGCTACCCAAGGCTGGCTCGGGTGCCCACTGCCAGATGGCGGCTGACCCTAAGCGCGCTGGTGTTGTCTCTGGATCTTGCCACATGGTCCGATATGGAGAAGATGGAGGCGGTGGGGGCAGTATGGGCCATGAGGGTGATGGGGACAGTATGGGCGATGGGGGTGACTCGTATGGGAGCAGTATGGGCGATGGGGGCAGTATGGGCGATGGGGACGGTATGGGTGATAATGGCGATGGAAGTGATTGGGGTGATGGTGACAATGGCGGAGCGAGTGGTGGTTGAAAGGGCAGCAGGGTGAGAGGCGCTTGCCAAGGCGCCTGGAAGGAAGACAATTGGACGTAAGGCTGAGGAAGAGGAAAAGAGACTTGACCTGTCGTGGGGACCGTGGGGGGGACGTAGTGGTGGAACGTGCTGACAAGGCCTTCTAATGTGTGACTCCCGTTCTCTGGGGCAGCACTAATAGTAGAGGCCATGGTAGTCATGGCGCTGGTAACATATTTTTGCCTTTGTTGCCGGGAAGCCTTAGCCGCTTCTGCGCGTTCGATATCCACCTTCCAGTGAACGAAGGGGTCACCCTGCGTGCGTACTGTTGAAGTCGTCAGCGTCTGGACTGCCCATCACAATGAGGAAGAACTTACCTGGGGGCATGAATACTATTGATGCAAGCGCTGTGCAAACGGCTACAGGACGGTCCAGCCGCTTTGCAGGGGGAACTGTGACAATGAGTTTGAGGGTTGGCAGAACTTCAATCTAAAAGGGCATTTAAACTCACCTCAAGGTGCCTATTACATATTATCAAGATATTAGAGCAGCATGGTCGAATTAAATGGGGTACAAATCTGAAGCTTCACAGGGCCTCCAGACTCGAGGACGCTTACCCATGTACCGAACCTTCGGCTGGAGCCTGAAACGGCATATTAGTGCTGCTCGCTGCTGCACGGGGTATTGATTCTTGCAGGGTTCAGAACTAAAACCGTACAGATTAGTAACAGCACCATAGCTTTCGAGTTGACTCACAGGGGTTGATGCTACGCTCATGCCCGCACAAGCAGAAGCTGTCCCGGACCCGATGTTGTATGTCACTTGAAGTTCGTGTACTACTAGTAGTGATAGACTGATAGTAGTCTTCGAGATGCTTGAATTAAAACCTGCGAACAGCTACAGTCTGAGAGTCGTGTCGATATAGACCCGAACATTAAGACATCGAGGATGCGGCACAGTGCCTGATGTAGTCGCGCACGAGTAGTAATTAATAATTCCTGGTGGTTGGTTTTTTTGCTGACTTCAACCATCGGTATCATGATGATCCCAGGGGCCCGGCTCAAGGACTTGATCAAATCTCCCACACCACTGATACCGATTTTTTAATCGCCGCACAATCACGATGATGATGAATCATTATGTAGGTACAGGGTGCTTCAGTGAAAGGTCGCGAGAGCCAGAGAGCGCCAGCGACTTGGAGGTCCGTTCTTCACCTCTCTCAGGCTGGGGCTCGAACCTGGGCGTACTACTAGATACGAAAACTAGCATTGATCGAGTAGAAATCAACTGAAACATGCATACTGCCACGTAGTACTACAACCTATGATGATACTGTAAAACCAGTAAAAATGACAGTGAGGACAATACAAAAGACTACGAGAACATCATGAGGTCACTACTGTGACAATGCGGCGAACTTGAATTACGGACTCAATTCAATCTCCGTGAGAAATCAGCGCCTCTCCATGTCACATAGCGACGACCCACACCACACCATTTCCATCTCAAAGTCGAGTCAGTCCTTGAAGACGGCCACTGTCGAGCTTTAAGCTCAAAAGCCAAGGATGGACCCGTAAACCAACATCATGCCGAAGGAGATTTCAAGATGTGTGACCATTTCCCCGATCTACCGTGACCGTCTCACTCACCTTAGCACGCTATCGAAACTCCAGCGTCTCCTTCTTCATCCTTCAAACACCCGATACCAGAAGACCCCCAAGGTGAAATGCCCAAACCTCCCACAGCGTCCTTCCTCCTGCCCCTCCACGCGCCGGGAAACTCAAAGAACACCTACTAGACAAAAAATATAAAAAAAGAGGTACAACTTCATCCACTCATTCCTATCATATCATATCTAACACAGCACATCTATCCTAAATCAAACCCAGCCGTTCGCGCTCAGCATCCGAACAAGTACAAATCTCCAGAACTGTCGAACGCTGCACGAACTGGAAGTCACGACTATAGATATGACGCAGACATGCGAAGAGTCACTGGAAGAAAACTGCGAGTGCGAATGGATCTTTTTCGATTTTGAGGCAGAGTTCTGGTTCTATAGCTCGAGCTTCAAGTACCTCTCCCTCACTAGCTGTGTAATGTGACTGGAAGGCTACTGCTGGCTGCCGGCCCTGGTGCTAATAATAAATGTCTGATGTATCTTGTTGGAGATATTAAACCTTTGCTTCTACATGGTGGTGAGCTGCGCTGATCGTGGATTTATTTATTTTGAAAATGTAGCAGGAGATAAGGCGACAGGAGGATCCGGATGTCGAATGTGGTTAAGGCCAGGCTGTCAGGGATATACACCATGACTTGCAGAGATGAATGATTGGCGCCGTTCACGCCGGGATGTGGCTGAAGGTATTACACGATGTTGGTAAGATGAAAGTCCCCGCTGAGAAGCAGTTATTGTGTGGGTGGCGGCATGGTGTAGCATGAGGTGATCTATGCCACGATTTCACTATCTGAAAGGCTCAGATCTCAGATAACATGTAATAGTACTTATACAATGTGGAGTCAATACTGATAATTATGAATCTAACTTGCGGTACTCTCTAGCGAATTTAGTAGTGTCATAGAAGCAAAATAGAAGGGTAGCGAACATGTGGTACACACCAGGCGCTATACATAATCGAGTGTATGGCCAGGGGTATTATACTCTATATACTCACCAAGGGTACATTGGAAAGGGGTCGAGGAGGGAGAGATGAGATATCGACGACTAGCTAGGCTACTGCAAGTAAGTACTACAGCAGCTGATGATGATGGCATTTGTTGTTCCCACTACCCGATTTATCATTATCATTTGTAATCTCAAGACTCAAGTTATCTCGGAGCTTCACGTTTGATCTTACATTTCACACAAAGGCATTGCTCAGCGCTCAGCACCCAACGACACTTGACATCCAACAGCCATGTCTACAATAGTACTCAAGTGGCCACTGTTCCTTCTACACCACTTTTGTACCCAAAACATACCAGTGCTATGAGGCCAGATCGATATCTACAAGTCCATTGACAACACCAGCGCTCACAGAGTCAGATCAGAAGCCCAAGCACCAGAAATTACATGCCTCAAGTCGACCTCGACCAAACAGAGCCGAAAAAGCAGCATCCGCTAAAACACCCCTGCGTGCAGAAGCGGTAGGGCAGACCAAGCCAGTAGAGAGCGTCCCTACCATAGCAGACAGATGTTTTGTGTGGCGATGTTCCCAAGAAGTCTCTGCGTTCCGAAGTTCTTACCCCAAGTAAGTTTCGAGAATTTAAGCATTTATCGGATAGAATTCTTACTGGGTTGAAGATGTGAAGAGGATATTGGACTATATGGCTGACCTGACTGCTGATGAAGGCCACAAGGTAACTTGGAAGTCGTCTGAGTCACTGAATACAGCCGCTGATGATGCTTACTAACAGGAATTCCATGGCGTGAGACCAGCAGAATTTAGGTTAATACACGAGGCAGGAGAAGCGGGCCGAATTTTGACGAAGGCCGAGGTAAGGGTTAACAAATCTGTCTATTTCGAGGATTGCTAAAGTAGTACAGGCTTGCTTACGACTACGACAAGCACATCTTGTCCGTCACATGCCTAGCTTTCTGCACGAAGCTTCTTTCGATTATCTCAAATGTCACCTCACACTGGCAATAGCTCAACTTCCGTATGATCCCGAGTTAGTTGAAATGACGATAAGCATGAACTATCCATTGAAGATTGGGGGTGGTAAGATCGTGAACCCAGATATGACCATCACCATCTCTGCGGTTGATGATACACCATCGGTGGTCCTGGTTCCCGCTATCGGGGAGTGCGCATTCTCGCAGAATAGGGATAGTCTTCAAAAGGATGGAAGATGAAATTGAAGCGCATCCGGACGCAGTTTTAGCCATCATAGTTCTCGTGCACGAAGGCATACATTACGCCTGTCCCAATCCCGATTCAATCGCATCGAAGGAGTTACGCAACGGGGAAGATGACCCTCAATCTCTCTCTCTCGACGAATTCATTAGCCAACGCACAATGCCACGATCTTTCGACACACCTATCAGGGTCGGTGAGCATGACTGGTGCCACATCCAGTCCGTTGAATACTTCGTATGGGTGAAGGGTGATCACCAAGATCGGATCGATGTTCGTAATCATGATCCTCAGTTCATGGCTCACGGGGTAAGTCACATCGATGGTTGTGTCGTGAATCTATATAACAATTTTGCAGACTTTGGCCCCCAACTTGAACATGGACGCTGTAACGGCCATGCTCGAGAGAGGTGTGCGCAAGATCAGAGATTGTCTAGTCTCCTTCTCACGGGAGCTGAGCGATGAAGTTGATTGCTCCGAGTTAGAAAATGCTGAAGTCAGGCAGCCCATTGTATGGCGCCTTGGTGCCAAGAACGTGATGAAAGCAGCTGATCTCACCGCACATCAGCGCTATGATCTCTGGCATGATGAAGTCTTCAAAGGCGTCAAACGCTCGCACGACGAATCCTACGAGCCTACTGAGTCGGAGTGCAGCTCCTCGGACTCGGAAGTATCGGCTACTATCTCTTCTCAAGACAGCCTCGCTCAAGACCTTGCGGGGTTTAAGTGTACATGCAAACACCGCAGCAAGCGTGTGAAGGCTTAGCGTTGCTTCGGGTTGATCGTTGAGGAAGCCGTTCTGTTGAAGGAAATTTTTGCTCACATGCTTACATCGTCCATTGCAAGCTACTACCTGTCAAATACGCTACGATACAATCTCTTTCCATTTCGTACGGGTCCGGATATTAGCTCATCACACCTCATTACTGTACTTGTAACCGCGTTCATGATTTCACGAAGACTTTGTTTTACTGATCTGGGGTTGACGCGTCGACGCGTTGACGCGCGTCACGCCAATCACGTGCAACCTATGCGGCTATGCCTGAAATGGTTCGCACATGCAAACAACACCTAACGGGAGCAGTGTGCAGTTTTCATCTAAGTCATGCACCACATGAGTCGTCATCCCGCGGTCCCGGCTTATTGAACAATGTCTTAACTTCTTATCATTCTGCCATCATACCTAGCGCCTGACTCCATCCTGCTTTTAAACTGTCACCTGAACTCATTG